TGCGAAGTGACGTAACAACGCATGCGTGTGTACACTTGTACATATGCGCAACAACGTCACTATGCGAACGACTGTGTGTATGGAATGCGGGTACACGTCGCGCGCGCCAGCGCAAGCGCACGCAGCGCCGCGCGCCGCCGCTTGCACTTGAACCCATGTCCATTTGCACATGCGGGCGCAAGCTAGCCAATATGCGCACGCGCGCGTTTTTTAATGCGCAAGGGCAAGGGCCCGCAAATTGATACACGCAGGTGTCTGGATCCAGGACAAGCATGCGCGCGCGCTTGCGCGCGTCCGCGGCCACGCGCCAATGCACGCGCGCATGCGTCACCGCGCGCGCGCGCGAAACGACTTTCTAGATTTATACAGCGGCGCGCACTTGCATTGGGCGCGTTGTTTTTCCCATGTGCAACGCGTGCGCCATCTTGCGCGCGTGCGAACGCGGCCCGACCGCGCAGAACGCCAACGCGCCCTTGTTGGCATGCGTTCCGCCAGGTACATATTCAACATGCGCAGGGGCGCCCCGTGCACGCAGCACCGTTGTCAGCCATTCGGCTTCGCTCCCGTCAGGTAGTATGGCGACGCGTCATTGGTTCGCTGCCGTTGCGCGGGGATATGGAACGCGCGGCTTAAACGCATGCCCGCGACGAGCAACGCCGCGTGTCGGTGAGCTGCGCGACAGGACGCAAAACGTCGCGATGCTGGCGGAACTGCGCCGAGCTGCACAAAACCCCTTTACAGTAAGAGGCGTCAGATCCGCGCCCAACGCAACCAAACGTGGCCAAACAAGAATGATGGCGTAAGCCTTGTTACCCTGCGCTGCGCAGGTTGTGCCGCGCTGGCCCACGCCGCAATCTCGGCGGCGGCTGAAGCTGCGGCTGGTCGCCGTGAATAACGCAACGCGGATATCCCTGCTGCGAACGCGCGCGTTTCGTATTTGCGCAATGTATTGTTGGCATTGCCGCATTTCCCGTTCGCAGATCGGCGTTGTCGCCAAGTCTGCGCGGCCAGGGAAACGTCGTCGCGGCGCGCGAGGAAACGGAGTTGACGGTGTCAGCCGCCGAGTAGACGGGGGGATGGCGCCCAAATGTTGTAAATTTATAGGCTGCAGCGACCTCGCAAAATCGAGAGGACGGGCTCGCGAAATCTCAGAAACACGAGTTTACGGTTTCGTGCGCGGCAGCCGATGCGCGTTTCGCGCATCCAAGTTCTGGCGGCGTTGGCAGCCACGCCAGCATGGGAACCGAGTAGGAACCGAGTAGGAACCGAGTAGGAACCGAGTAGGAACCGAGTAGGAACCGAGTAGGAACCACTCGGGTGAGTAGACGCCGAGTAGGAACCGAGTAGGAACCGAGTAGGAACCGAGTAGGAACCACGTAGGAACCACTCTGTGCGTCGAGACCGAGTAGGGGCCGAGTAGGAACCGAGTAGGAACCGAGTAGGAACCGAGCACGCGCGCTCATCGCAAGATGCAACGCATGCGCAATGATCCAGCCAGAACAACATAGAACGGTGTGGACGCTGCGAGCTTGAAGCAAGCTTGCGTCAGAGCAACATACCCTGGGCAACGAGCGCAGCCTGAGCGTTTCGCGAAAGGGGCGATGTCGAACTCATGGGTTGGCGCGATTGCCGAGCAGCGGCATTCGTACCAGGGCAGAAGCCATGGCCCACGCAGTGCGAGCTCGCGCGATCTCAGCGACCAAGATGGGTTCATGCGGCCGATGCCGCGACATTTAGACATGGGACGGCTGATCTATATCAGCAACGCGTTCCGCTTGGGAGAGCGAGGCGGTCATGCGGCGTCATTGATTGCATTGGCTTCGGCGCGGCCGCTGCGCACCATCGCCATTGCAACTTCCTCTGCAGCAATGCCCCTCGCGCTCATCGGCGTCGGCGCCATGACGCGCGCGCCGCTGAGCCGCCCATCTCGAGCCCTCCGCCGCCAGCCCCCGCCGACGCGCGACCCCCCACCCCACCCGCCCACCCGCCCCACCCACGCACCACCAATGCGCGCGATGGCGCCGCGCTGCCACTCGTCGCGCGCCCGCGATGACATGCTGGAGCTGCGCCGCGCGAATCTGCGGCCATCGGCCACGCCCGCGAAGTTCACGCTCGCGCGCGAAGCGTGCCTCTGGCCCTGGCAAGTGCAACATCTTCCCCCCGACGGATGGGCGCGTGAGGCCTGGCGTTGATCGCGCGCGCCCGAGCGGTGGCCCTTCTGCTTGCGAATATCAGCCGCTCGCTCGTTTGACGACGGGGCGTGACGGCCATTCGCGGCCGACGCATTCACGGGCTATGAAGCGGCTCAAACGCCCCCGACCGCGAGAAAAAAGTTGCACATCCGCGGGGGCAACGGGAGTATCGAACAGCGCGGAAACAATTGCTCTCGCGCGCGCGGCCCCGTCGCCGTCTCGGCCCCGAAGCGCGCCCCTGCGCGCGCGCTCGATGCGCTGGTGGCAAGCCATTGCGGTTCCACTTGCGGCGTGCCCAGCAACGCCCGCGCGCGCAGCCGCTCGCTGGGGCGCGGGATGCCGCGCTTCCAACCCGCGCAAAGCTTCGGTTGAGATCGCTGGCGGCAGCGGCTGGGCCGCGCGAGGCGACCCCGCGGCGGTCGATTGCGCCCGACTCGTAATCGGGGCGTCTCGGCCCCACGCATCACTTGCGCCCTTGCCGACGTTGGCGCCGTCGTCGGGCAGAGGCCGTGTCGCGCGCAATAGGCGCGGCGGCGCCGCGGATCGGCCAGCGTCGGCCATTGCGCAGCGGCCGATGCTCGGCCAGCGCCCCTGGGAGCGCGCCGCCGTCGTTCGACGCTGTTCGGGGCGGTTTGGCGCGCTGGTCGGCGCGATGGTCGCGCGCGTCGGTCCTGCGCGCAACGCCGACGGCATCAATCGCGCCCCCGACTGCCCCCCCCCCCCCCCTAGCGGTTCGTGCGGACGACGTATTCCAGCCCGCGCGGCGACGCGGAAATGCCGTTGAGTCAAGTTGCGCCGCGAGGGGTCGTCGTCGGCGCGCCCCGTTCGCGCTGCCGTTCCGCGACGCGACGAACCCCCTGGCGCGTCCGCGTTGAACCCTGAACGGTGGCCCAGCGGACTTCTGACTGCCACATTAGCTTCCACGCCAACATTGCGAATTCTCGTTTGTGGACAACACAGAGCCCCCCACTCGCGCGCGTGGAAAATGCGCAAAGACGCATGTTAACTCCAAAGTCAAACCTGTCACCGCTAAGGGTTCTTTCGGGTTCCCACACCAGCTTTGCGACTTGTTGATTTTCGAGTGTGGACTTCGAATACAGAGCTCCCCCCGCGCGCGTCCACGCGCGCGCGCGTGGTGAGTGATAGTAGAAATCGTACAAGAGAGCGAATATTAACGTGAAAATCAAATCGGTCACTGTTAAGGGGTTCATTGTAGTTTCCAGACCAACATTGCGACTTCTTCGATTGTGGGCAATCCAGAACTCCTCAAACCGCGCGCGCGCGCGCCGCGTCTCGCGCGCGTTGGAAATGCGCAAAAATTGCCATTATGTTCAACATCCGATCGGGCACCGTTAAAGGACCCTGTGGGTTTCCAAGCCAGCATGCCGACTTTGCGATATTGGACACTGCGGAAATGCCACGCGCGCGCGGCGGGTGACACGCCCACCGCGCGTGTCACCCCAGAAATATTGCTAGTCACCGTTAGGAGGTTATTTTGTTTTCCATGCCAGCATGGCGACTTTTCGATTGTGGGCGATACAGAATTCCTCACCGCGCGCGCGCAGTCCACCGCGCCACTTAATGCATTGGATTTGAAGTTAAGATGCGTGTTGCGCATTTCCAACGCGCGCGCATGGGGAGTTCTGTGTTGTCCACAATCGAAAAGTCGCCATGTTGGCCTGGAAACTAAAGTGAGCCCTTAACGGTGACCAACAGGATTTCTGGGGTGACACGCGCGGTGGGCGTGTCACCCGCCGCGCGCGCGTGTGGGAATGTCCGCTGTGTTCGCAATCGAAAAGTCGCCATGTTGGCTTGGAAACTAAAGTGGGTCTGGACGGTTACCGACTGGATTCTGAACTTAAGAGCCGTTTTTGCGAACGCCCTACGCGCGCGCGTGGGGGGTTCTGTGTTGTCCTCAATCGAAAAGTTGCCATGTTGGCTTGGAAACTCAATTGAACCCTTAGTGGTGACCGACGGGATTTCGGGTGACCCGCGCGGTGGGTGGGTCACCCGCCGCGCGCGCGTGGCAATTTCTGGAGTGCCCACAACCGAAAAGTCGCCATGTTGGTCTGGAAACTAAAAGTTAACAAATATCGGTGACGACCGATTGGATTACGAGTGAAGGGTGGGCTGGATGAACTGCGCAATCACAAACGCGAACATAAAAAAACAAACAACAAAACATAACAACAAACACGCACACACTAAAAAACACACACACATACGTATTAGCTGCGCAATCCCAAGTACCAGTACGATGGCGACGGGAGAACATTAACCGAAATCGACGGCCCGTCCAGAAACGATGCAGGTACGCCGGAGTAAATCAATAAAGCTGCACGATTGAAATGGATCGAGGAAGTGCAAATTTGGGCGGCATGTAGGCCACCTTCGGACGTTCTGGTTGAGTGCGCGGGCTGGGGCGACATGGAGACGGAGGGGTCGCCCCCTCATCGCTCCCGCCCCTCCCCCCCCCGCGCCCTTCTCACCGCCCTTCTCTCCCGCAGCTCGACGGCCTCAAGCTTGGATTTCTGCCATCACTCAGTCCGCGCCTCCTGGCGAGAGGCCAGGTGCAGTGTAAGTCCAGCTTGCTTGGCCCCAGCGGCAGTGATGCCGACGATGGGGCCAACCGCGTCTGCAGCTTCCCCACAACGCCCTGCCGACGCGAAGGGGCCCTCGCCCAATGAGCCCCTCCCGCGCAGCCCAGAGAAGCCGAAGATGAAGGTCAAGAGGTCCAAGCCGAAGGGCCAGCACAAGCCCAAGCCCAAGCCCATGCTCACGCAGATCAGTCACGTTGGCACGGCCGAGGTGGTCACGGCCGTTGCGAAGATGGTGCGTTTGAAGGAGGGCAAGGTCGAGAGGATGCTCAAGTGTTTGAGCCGCGTGTGCATCGAGGATCCCGAGCGGGAACAGGTTCGGCTTGAGGCGGAGGTGGGGGGTGGCAACGGGGGCGAGGGCGGGGCGGAGACGACTTCGCCCCCGCCCTCCCAATAGCACCCCCCCCGCCCTCCAAACCATCGAACCCTCCTGCCCCCAGGAGATCAAGAAGGGCACGCAATCCATCTCCATCGACGGCGTCGTAACATTCCAAGTGCAGCACGGCAAGGATAAGAAGAAGCAGCCCACGTCCACTGCGATTGGAATCCCGAGCCTGTGGATTGGGGCGGCCAACCCTTGGCCCATCACGAGCTCGACCAAGATGAGCATCCCTTTGGCCGACGACTCGGATTGCGATGGCCGTGCCAGCAGATGCGCCTTGGTTCGATGTCCAGTGCAAGGTCGTTGGGGCATCCAACGGCAGAGTCTTGAACGCCACCTTTCAGCGCTGCATGTATATACGCATTGTGATTTGCAGCAGTTTCGGTCATTACAAGATATGGTAACGCACTTGAGCCATTCGGATTCGGCGGCGGCATTCTTGAGCCATGATTGGAGTAGGTCGGCAGAGAACGAGGATACCTCATCATTCTCCTTATCTTCCTCCCTCCTCTGATGCATGTGTCATTCGTGCTTCTCATTATCCTTGTCTTCCTCCCTCCCCCGTGCATCCCCCCATTCTCACCCCTCCTCCTCCTCCTCATCCATCCTCCTCCCCCCCGAACTCCCCCCATTCCCTTTCTGGTGGTCTGTGTTTGAATTCTTGACGCTTTGCGCATCCCCATCGGCCAATCCAGAAACGACGCCCATGTGAGTCGAGGTGATGAGTGAAGTGCAGTGGCAAATAGGGGGGCAGCCGAACCGTTCGAAGGATGAGGAGGAGGATGAGAATGATGATGGGTGGTTTGATGAGGGAGGAGGGGTAAGCTGACGATAATGATGATGAGGAGGAGGAGTCGGCGGACGAGGAGGAGGATGAGGAGTGATGAGGAGGGCGAGCAAAACAGCAATGGGCCTCTTGGATGCCTCTCGGGATCTCTTTGGGTATATTTTGGGCGCATATTGGATGCCTCTTGGGCCGCCTTGGTTGCGTTTTTGCGTTCCAGGGGTGCCGATGGGCGTTGTGGGTGCCTCGGTGGTGTCTCTGGGCGCCGCTGGGGGTCATATCGGGGGCCTTGGGGGGGGGGCCTCTTGGGGCAATATGTGGACCTCTTGGAGCATCTTGGGTGCCTCTTGGATCGTCTGGTGTGTGGTGGGGAAGGGGGGTGGTGGTGGCATATTGGGTGCCTCTGGGGCCATGTTGAGGCTTATTGTGGGTATATTGGGGGGGGAGGGGGGGGGGGGGCTCTGGGATGCCTCATGCGCGCCTCTCGGAGCCGACTGGGCGCCTCCTGGGGCCCTCTTGGGGCGCTCTTGGGAGCTCGAGGGGCGCGCTTGGTCCTCGATCAAACCAGATGGCAGCTTCAATTATGGCCGCCCCCCTCGGGAGCCCCAGAAATCGCATCCTGAGGCGCTCTCTTGCGATGTTGGAGCGCTCGTGGGCGCCCTCGGGGGCGCCTTGAGGCTCTCCTGGGCCTCTCATGGGGCCCTCTTGGGCCATCTTGGAGCCACCTTGAGGCCTCGGAAGTCCATCATAAGCAAAATGACGAGACATCATCAAACATTGGTTTTCTTTAAGATGTTGGAGGCTATCGGCTCCTTGGTCGGCTCCTTGGAAGTCTCGGAGGCATCTTGGAGTTGTCCTGGGGCGGTATTGCGGCCTTTTGGAGCATATTCGGAGCCGTCGTGAAGCATCGTAGGCTATCTCGAGGAATATTGGACATCATCTTGGGCTTGCCGAGGCGCTCTTGGAGCCGCCTTGGGCCATCTGGGACATCCCAACCCCTCGCGGACCCCCCCCCCCCACATTGATAGTTTGCCATTGGATCATTCAATTTTCAGATTTCTCGGGGCCCTCAGGGGGCGCATCAAGTGTCAAGTGTCAGAGTGAGGGGGCCGAACGGTCATTCACTGTCCCTGGGTGCGTAGCTGAAGTGGGGGTCCGCGGCGCGGATTCTTGTTGTTGTTGTTGTTGTTGTTGTTGTTGTTGTTGTTGTTGTTTTGTTT